TCTATGCTTTCCTTATCTCTTCTTGAATTTCATCTATCTAACTCCATTCTTGAGATTAAGGAAGGATAGACAGACAACAGTGGAAATTTATAGGTCTATAATTTTTTCAAATTGCAGCCCAAAAAGATAAGCTCAAAATTTTAATAAACTTTTGAAGTGAAGTTTTCATGAGAAGTGTTTGAACATCCTGCAATTAAGGATAATGGTCAAACATTTACAAATACAATCCTTGACCAATAGTATGGAATCACAAGAAACATTAAGCAAAAATATGGAATATTGATAATTAATATTTTGTAGAGCCACCTTTTACCTTAATTACAGCCATTATCTTTTGTAGTATTGTAGAAATAAGATTTTTACACGGTTCTGGATCAACCTCTGACCATGATTCAATTCATTTTCTTCAGAACATTCTAACATTTTCAATAGATATTAACAAATCAGATGTTAATGTATAGATACTACAGTAAGGATCAGGCTAGTAGAAAAAGAGACCACTAAAAGTAAAGCTAAAACAAAGCCTTATATAATAAAAACAAAAGGAAGTTCATTTAAAAAAGATCAAAAGTCACAAAGACTGGACTGTTAATGATTGTTATGTTCACAGATAAATAGAAAATGTGTGTTAGCTTTGGTGATAATGGCAGTATATTAGTATACAGAAGATCAGGTGAAAAATTTCATCTTGACTGTTTATATTCATCAACAAAGTTTCCTAAGAGTAAAATCCACATTATTACAAATGCTGGAAGAATCATTTTGCAACTCATACAACTATTATGCTTAATTTTAAAACCAGCAAGCTTTAATTCAACTTTGACAAAAGTTTTCAATCTAATAATATATCTCCTTCAGGTCTATAACTTTTATCAAACGAGCATTTATCAAACTTGAATTAAATCTTGCTATTTTAAAATTAACATTAATAGTTGTATGAGTTGTGCAGTTTATAACCTAAAAAGGAGCTGGTTAGTGACAATCCTTAATAGTACATTGAATGCTAATAGTTATTTGGAGTTATTAGAATCTGTGGTTGTTAAAAAGATCTAAAGATCATTTTGGTGATGAGGATTTCATCTTCTAGGGTGACAACACATCATGCTATAGGTCTAGACATTTTAAGCAAGGTTTCTAGTATATAACATACAACATTTATAATGGTCTCCGAAAATGCTTGGAATTATTCTAAAGAAAATGGTGTCTAAAAAAAATAAAATGAACTACAACCACAGAAGAATTAAAGGAGACAGCCAAGAATCATAGTCAGATTTGATTCCAGAACTGTACAAAAACTTATTTCTATATTATCACAAAGAATTATAACTGTAATTAGGGCAAAACATGGCCCTATAAAATAGTAATCATCAGCATTCCATACTTTTGCACGTTTTTCATGATTCCATACTTTTGTTCAACTTTGTTGAAAATGCTGTAACTTTGTAATTTATGCAAATATCTTTGTGATGTTTGGTGTGTAAATACTTTAACATGTCTATTCTATTTGCCAATTGTTAAAAAGTTCAATTTTATTTTTGTAAAATTGATTATTTTGAGATCAAGATAATTTTTCCATAACAACTACTTTCTATACTTTTGCTCAGGAGTTGTTAATAGCAGAAAAGACACTATAATATACTGACTGAAATTTACTGTTTAAATTTAAGAAGTAAAAATTGAAAAACTTGTACATCAAACTTCTAAATATAATAAGAACTTGTCAAGAAATAAAAATAGTATCACTTTCCTCTACCATTAATTGTAATATAAAAATTGCTTTCAAAAGGTTGTTCAGATAACTCCCATAAACATGATAGTTAGGTTCAAAAAGTGCCGTGTTATGTGAACCGATGCTATATGAAACAAAGAACTAGTACAAAACATAGGGTTAGATTCCAAATTTTACCAAATGTATACTATTCTTATTCTTTAGTAAGAAAATTTGTTTATTAATGCAATCAATAATTAACTAACAATCTACCTACTCAAAAACCATTTAATGGAGCAAATTTCTTTATTCTAACATTTTTGATTATTTTCAAGAAATAAAGAAAATGTTATTTCTTTATTTTTCTTTATTCATATTTCTTATTTCTTTATTTGTTGAAAATTGTCAAAAATGTTAGAATAAAGAAATATACTGCATTAAATGGTTTTTGAGTGGGTATTTTGTACAGTTGCAGTTCAGAAAGAGGTAATTACTTACAATCCCAATCAAAAGCATTATGTGTTAATATTTTTTTCTTTGCTACTAAGCACTGTTAAACGAGGATGTTTTCTTTCTGGCAAAATATCATCATCATATCCTGTTGACCTTCATATAAAGTACAGGGAACATCTTGATTTTTCTCTACTTTTTTTTCATAACATCTGATATTTTTATCTGCTTGTATTTACCTAAGAAATTTTTAAGAATTTATTCTTTTATGTAATAAGTTTTAATTTAATCTACAATAGCAAAACACTGCAAGTCTTTTGGGTTCATTCAGAGCATGATCACCAATGACAGCGACACTTTTAGAAAAGCTACAATAGGAAGGTAGGAAAAGGAAAATAAACACAATCAATTAACTTTGAAGAAACAGCAAAATTAAACTTTTGCCATTTCTCTGGAAAGTTGCTTTGGATAGGGCAGAATGGAAGAGGACTTGAAGTACCAACCTCATATAAATGGGAAAAGGTCAAGAAGAAAAAGAAATTACATTTTATCAGTATAGTGGGTGATTGGTTAACGAGCATAATCCATTCCAAGACCATGTTTGCTACCTGAATTGTTCGTTAACCGACTATCAATTTACCATATGTTTTTATGGTAATTTGATTAATTCATTCTAGTGACCCACCAAAAAAATTATATACTTTCTTACTATTCTTAAAAGCAATCTTAAATCCATTTTTTCATAGACGGCACATCTTTGTTCTTTAGATGTTATTTTCGTTACTTCTTTGTCTGCTTGAGTCTTTTTGATTATACCTTACTTAGCTAAGATTGTGCTTACAGTAGACCTGTTGAAGCCATACTATCTGGCAACATCAGACATCTTCCCACTTTCTACCTTGGCTATTATCTCTTGCTTAGTTTCTATAGTAAAAACATTTTTGACACCCCACTCTTTTTAGGACACATAATATTATCAGTTTTCTTAAATAAAAAGTTCAGAAAAACACTTACAAAAATTCAGAGAACAGAAATTAGCTAATGCAAAAAAGGTTAGGTATACAGCTGTAAAAGTCTCCTTCCATAAACCACATTAAAATATATTTTTACAAATGTTAAATGCAGCATTGCTTCTTCTTGTGTTTGTTCTGTGTTGTTCTGTGAAGTGTTTGTTATCTGAATATAAAAAACGCGTTCGAATTCCTAAGTAAAGTAGCCTGATGAAGACCTCGATGAGGTTGAAAACATTTGCTGAGGTGTAAACAAATATCACTGGAGATGGAAAGATTGAAGTGTTGAAGAATATAAAAATCTTTTGCGAAAGTGTTTGTTGTCCAATCTTTTTGCAGTCTGAAGTATTCATTAACCAATCACCTAGTATATTCTATAGCACTATACTAATGCTTTATTAAACTAGACCTACTGATTAATATCTACCTAACTTTATAACAAAAAATGCTTTAATGAAGTGAAACATTTGATAAACAGATTCAAGTAGTTTTTACCACTACATTAAAAAATACAGCAAAAGTGAATGAAATTACAATAAAAGCACACACTAACACCTGTAATCCAGTTAAAAGAAACCAATTTATTATAAGAACAAATGTCTTCAATTGTTTTTAACAGCTGTTATGAGGTTATAGTCTTACATAGAATAAAATTAAATAAAATGTGCTGGTGGTTGGTTACACATGTAAAAGAATGGTAAAGAAAAATTAAACTACAAAATAATAAAACTAGGATTAAATTAAATACATATAAATAAAAGTAACAAACATAAAAAGAAAAATCAAAGTATAAAAATAACTAAAAATATAAGGTCATAAATGTTCATAAATTTCTTTCGTGTGTAGGAACAGACGTGCTATGTAAGAGATGCACATTATCAAAAGCCACCTGGACCTCGTTGTCATAAGCAAAGGCTGTAAGGACCATTGTGCACAAATCCTATCAAATGGCATAGTGAAGTTTCTAAAGTCTAATATTCAACAGTCTGCAGATAGCTTCAATATACTCATAGGGATGATTTACAATTTTCAAAAAGAGGAATTGTGTAAATGCCAGGTAGTAAAGAGTATTTGTTTCTCCCTATAATTTCTGACAAAGGAAATAACTGTTGGACTTCTCTTAAATGCAATAATGGCAATGGCTGTTAAAGACAGTTGAAAGAATTTGTTCTTATAATAAATTGGATTACAGGTATTAGTATAAGCTTTTATTTCCCTACTATATATTCATCATAAGAAACAATAATTCAAAAACAGAATATAGTTACTTGAGATACAATACATAATCAAATCTTTTATGGTTAAAATAAAATGAATCAAAACAATACTCATCATAATTTTATCTATCTCAATTTTTTTAGACTTTTATCCATGCTTACAGACTCTCAAAGTTTTAAAATGCAGTAAAGCATTATAATATATTTATAAATGCTGATGCACTGAAGATTTTATATTCTATATCTTTCAAAGTAAAAAACTATTTTTTTAAATTGGCTAATAAACTAGCAATCAGGTCTATTGAGAGCTTGTATGGGACTTGAGGTGGAGTAGGCCCCTTTAGCTTCTTATTAACACCTGTAGTTCCTACAGACACCTTTTGCCATGTTTCTTTTTTTTAACAAATGAAGTACAGTCACCTATAACACTGTTGATTATTCCGTTTTATATGAATTCCGTGTTGTACGAGTCACTTAGATTTTACAAATACGTGTGCTGGGCTGTGAACAACTCATGTATTTGTAAAATCTAAGTGACTCGTACAACACGGAATTCATATAAAACGGAATAATCAACATTGTTATAGGGGATCGACTGTACAGAAACATTTCTTTATTAATTAAATAATTAAATTAAATTCTTAATAATTAATAAAAGCAGACTTAAACAATTTTATTTTTTGTCAGAAAAATTAACATTAATTAAGAGGTAAGAACTATCAAGGCCCTTAATTTTCTCCAGGCCTGGGGAAAAATTTCTATCCCTCTCCTCTTGATTGCCTGCCAGCAAGGATATCTTTACTGTTTACACAGAAAATGCATGGCTATGCTCATTGGACATTGTAACAAGCAAAAATTGTATGTAAGGACCCTCATTGTTTATTGGGGTATATTAAAGCAAGAATTAATTATTATGAGTAACAAAATTAAATATACATAAAGTAAAATGTTCAGGGAAACTAATCCATTAAAAAATTTATATGTTAAAATTCTTCATAATATGCAAATATCATGAATGTTTGAGACATCACATTGTATATAAGCAATTTCAAGAGAATTGATAAAAGGTGAGTTTAACACAGATGATTTAGAAATTTCTTCAATGCTTTTAGGAGACCATAATCAATGAAAATTGTTTAAATAAACGGCACATAAGAAAAGTTTGGATAAAATGCATTTAGTTTCTTCAGTGTTTACAATACTGTGGAGCTAATGTCTGAATATTGCCAAACTTTTTATTATTTTATCAATATAAACAAGTTTATCATTGACAATAATACCTAAGTCATTAATTAACTACATTGACAAAAGTACAATTATGATTATAAAGTTGTAAATTTTTAATGAAAAATCAGGATGGGATCTTAACAAGACAAAATACATGGTTACAGTCTTGTTTAGATTAATGACGAGATTAAGATCATGGAATCTATCCAAAAATTTATCTAGGTTATATTGTACAAATTTGGGTAATTATTTATAATGTTAATACCATCAGTGTAAGAGAAATAAGCCATTTCAAAGTACAGTATTGTTGATGTATGCTATAAAAAGTAAAGTGCTAAACTTTGCTGAATCCTAGTTGATGAGAAGTCTTAAAAGTAAGCCATTAATTTTTATTTTATCAGTATGTAATATGTAATAATTATTTAACCATGACTTATTAGATTCAGATCAAAATTATTGTTCAGGATGTCTAATAGCTTGTGTGGTAGAAGAGAGTCATTAGCTTGGGACATGTCTGGATAAACTATGTAAGTGGGTAATTTTTTCTTGAAGTATTTTATTTTGCTTTTGTTTTAAATATTTAGAACAGTGGTTCCCAAAGTGGGAGCTACTGCCATAAATCTAGGAGTGAAAAAGAAGCAGATGGGCAGCAGGGAGCACTGGAGGCAGAGTACTGACCTAATAGTGATCTCAGGCAAGGGTTAAGTCACTGACAACCTTTCTCTTTCCTTTATTAAATAAATTTATAAGAAGAAATATTGTGTTTATAGGTTTCCAGATGTGCAAAACAATTTACGGTACGGACACAGAGTGTGAGATTCATAGAAAGTTTTTCTAAGAATATTTCAGAGATTTTCTCACACAAGGGAAAATAGTTTAGGGGACATTAGGTATAAGTTTATGGAACCAAGGAAACAATGGCTCATAAAAGTTTGGGAATCATTGATTTAGAAGGTTAATGACTAGAATGATGAGGTAGGCCACAATTTAGAAAATATTTTACTGATTATTTGTGTGTATATCTGGTTGTACATGCATGTTTTGAATATTTTTAACATAGCAGATAATAAATGTGTTCTGTTTTTAGGAATTGGTTTTAATGTTGAGGAATATAATTGGCTGGACATATATTTATTTTGATGAATTAATGAAAAAGTATGAAAGAAAATGCTACTATCTGTAAGTTTAATTTTCTTATAAAAGATGGATGGTAGAGTCAAGACTTTGCAAGATTTTGACAATGGCATGTCAAATTTTCTGAAGAAAAATAGCAATTTGTTGTTGGCAAAGGGAATAGAATTGGATAAATCAGGTATTAATGATTTGTATGAGTTTACACAGGATATATCTTTGATTGTTGTTTTTTTATATTAGGGTTACTGGAACATAGTATAAGCATTCCAATAGCAGTTCTGTGATTTTACTATAACAATCAAATCTCACACGTGTTTGTTGAAACAACTTATAGTGTATGCAAAATAGTTAATTTAAAATATTTGAATAGTGAATAAAAATGAATTGTCTAGAACTTCAAAACTGAATGGATGATTATCAACAATGGCTTTTTCTGAAGTTTAACGTCCTACTCGACTGGTCAGCAGCCGATATTAACAGAAACCAAAGAAAAGCATTAGGTTGTCATGCCATCTAGCCAGCACTACACATCGATGGGTTGCTCAAATTAAAGATGGTAGAGTGAATATCAAAAAGACATAAGGAAGGAACAGAAGTGACCTCAACAGGAAGAGAATCACATCAAGAACAACAAGGAACTTTTGAGGAAATCTAGGACTGGAGTCTGCAAACTATTGAGGCAACAACTGGCATTCCATGCAAAATGATTTGGTTTACATTAAAAAAAAACTTGGTCTCAACAAAGTGCACAAAACCTGGATTCCATATGAACTGACAAAGGATCAAAACTTGAACCAGACTGCAGCATATCAAACAAATTTTACTTCAATTACAGAAGGTAAGAAACTCTTTGAACATACACTTGCAATTGATGATATGTGGATTCCCATGTATAAACTGGGTACACGACAACTAAGAAATTCACAATGGATGATAGTTAAGTGGGCAGCAGAAAGTTAAAAAAATTTTTACATGCTTAGAGAACATATGATTTTGTGGATATTTTTTATTTGTTGTTTATTATATTTTTGTAAATATTGGTAAATATATATGAATATAGTTAAGACTTAGTTAAGAGTTATTTCAAACTTAAAAAAGGAAATGTTTTGAAACATATTGCAGCATGGTTAATTATTTTGTCAGAAGTGGTTAACAAAGCTCATCAAAGAAAAATGGTTCTTCAAAACAAATTTCTTCCAAGAACTTCTATAATTTTTTGTTTTAATTTATATTGTATTTAATGTATAATGTAATGTATTTTTAATTTTATGTAATTGTTTATGAATATTTGTAAATTTTGGGGTAGATATCAACTGTTCTTCGAGACTTTTCAATTTACTTGTAAAAGGGACTAAATATTACATCCTCATTTTTAAAAAAATTTTTACTTTCCCCCTGTTGTCCCAGTTTGTCAAAGTTTCTTTAATCTGTTCATTTTTAATTTTTCTGTTAAGAACTGTAGTAAGAACTCATTTGGAGTCACTATATTTTGTAGATAAAAGAAATAAGCAGAAAAGAAAATAAATGTAAAAATATGTAAATGAAATATTGAGCAAAGGATTGCAAAAAATTAATACATATTAGGCAAATAAAATAAAACAGACAACAAACACAAAAGGAACCAACCTGAAGATGGATAATTTATTTTAAAAATACTAAGCCCAAACAACCAAAACTTGGAATTTGTTTTTCTGAACCAAAGAATTATTTTTTAATTACCTAGTAATGGAACAATCCACATCTAATAGGTAAAATGATATTTTTCACAGTACATGTGGATTTTGAACAATCCTGTAATTACTTTTAGTAGCAAATGAATAAAGCAAGAAAGCTGAAATATACTAACTATATAGGAATACTTCACTGTAGTGTATAGATTCTAGTATTCACCAGAGTTTTTAGTTAATGTGCAATGATTTATTATAATGTGGTCAAAATGTATAAATTTTACTATTAGAATGATTTTTGACTTTCAAGTATTTTCATGTTGATATTTAAGAGTAACATATTAAATAGTAATTGTTTTTATTAAAATAATAAAATTATTATTATTATTGGCTATTCAGGATATTCAGTAAAAAGTTTTACTATAGTCTTTCAATTATGTAAATGGATTTTACAAAAAAAAGCAAGAATTTATTTTTCATAGATATCATTGGTACCTGCCAGGATTGTTGGTCATTCCTACACATACGAAAAAATAAATAAAAGGAATTATTGATCCAGGGATAGTAGTCCTCTGATGTTTATCTTTTGTCCTTAGTGATTTTGAAAAAACCAAAAACGACAGAAGATAAACTTGTATTAAAAAAAAAGAATAAAATAAATTTTTAGGTATTTTCTATCAACCATAATTTTGGATTAACTCTAGAATTAATGTATTATATATATTTAGTAAATAGTTTAATTTTGTTATAGAATATTATTGGAAATATATCAGTAAATAATCTTATATTGGCAAAATACTTCATGTTATGTAAACATCTTTAATTGCCCGTGGTAAAGACGAAGGTATTAATTTTAAACATTAGTTTCGGAGAATATTTGTTTCTTCATTTTAAATTTTCACCAATTTTTGCAAATCATTGGCATTATTAAATAATTAAAGTCAGGAGTGCAGAATCCGAGTTACTTTGGACCAACAACTGTATTTTTTTTTTTTTTAACTTATATAATGATTACTTATGTCTTTGGCACAGAGTCGAGGACGCCCGGCAAATGTAAAGTCTCACTTAGAGAAGTCCACATAAGTTACCAACCATGATATAAACAATATTAATAAATCATTTCCATTTTAACTTGCACTTTAAAAATTATTTATTAAACATTGCTAAACTCGTCGTTATTTAAGTAGTTTGTCCTACGTTCGAGTCGGAAAACAACTCGACGCTTTAAAACGACACATTTTCGTCAGACATTACATACGTAGGGTATTAACTAGTCGTCTAATGTACTTTTAGACATCGTCACGTCCGACAGATAGCCAAATTAATGAAAAAGATTCTCATATTTCTTTTGAACGTCACAGATGTCGGAACGATTGAGATTAAATAATAAACGTTCTTCAATTTTTGCAAGAGCGGCAAGAGTCAGAACTACGGTTTCGTGCTTTAACAAACTGTAAACGTTAACTCCGTAGACCGGCATCAGGTTTAAATGTCCGATCCCGTCGACTGCCAGGCCGACGTTTCTCGGCACGACGTCGGCATCGTCGACGAAGAGGACGGAGGGTCCCCAGCGGCGACGCTCCACCAACTCTTCCAGGTATTTCGGATCGTCCGTGGGCAGGTCCAGACCGTCGACGATCTTCAGGTCGTCCTGCGCAAATTTCACGGAAAGTGCCACGACCAGACCTTTCACTCTGACGAAATACGGCAGCATAAAGAAACGAGTTTTGGGTCCGCGGGGTCCGTGAGCCACTCCGCCGCCTATCCAAAGGGGCGAACGTATACTTCCGTGTCTGGCCCGTCCCAGACCTTTCTGGGGCCAGGGTTTGCGTCCTCCGCCCGGCATTTCGGCTCTAGTTCGCACGCACTTCCAATCGACTCTTCGATATAACATTTGCCACTGGACGTTGAACTGTAGCATATCTAGTCTGGGTGGAACGGCAAATACATCCGGATGTAGATCAACCGTACCCAATTTTACACTTTCTAAAGTATCGAGCCCCTCTACCCACGCTTGACGAGGTTTGGTATATTTTGGAGGATACTGTAATTTACGAGACGTTATAATAGGAAGGGCAGGACGAGGGGGAATTGGTGGAACCCCGGACGGCACCTGTAACGAATCGGTTTGAACTAATCTAACGTGCTGGCCGAAGACAATAGAAGAAAGACGACCGTCGTTTAGCTTCACCGTTTTCGTTAGAAAACGTAACATCTTCAATAATTATAAAAATACCAACCGATCACCAAAAAATTACCTCACCACTTCGCACTCACTTTAACATCGGCACAGAGAAAACAGCCGCCATTACTTAACTTAGTGTTGCCAACTCTCGTATTTAAAGCTGGCAACGTTCAAATTTACTATTTAGCAGTTATCGCTTTTCCTCTCAATTTTGTTTTTAGAACAGACATATACGTGATAAACATTTTAAAAACGTAGAGTTATTTGATTACAATCATACAAAACGCTGTATAAACAAACACCAACAGGACTACTTACCGACTGTGCATCGTTTAGGCCGCCGTTGCTTAAACTTGTTTTCGTCGTGGAGTATTACTTTGCATGAGGAGGCTTAAAGAGCTTGTCACGTGACTTTGCTCCCTAGATATTGACATTTTTGGAATCGATGGACCTAGAAACGTCGAGAAATATATAAAAAATTCAAAGTTTTTCTGTATGTATCGATGTTAGTGTATGGATTTTGCAGAGAAGTTTGTGTATTAAAGGGATTGATGCCATTAAATTTTGGTAGGTATTAAAGGAAAATAAAGTAGGTCGTGTCATATCTCGAGTAGGGTCTGATTTAATGACGATTTTACCGGTTATTAGCATTTACGACTTTTTATAAAATCCGTCTTCCTCTCAAAATTAAGCTTTTGTCATTTTATAATAAGTGAAAATATAAAAAGTTTTGTACTAATAAAATATCGTAATAGATGGCGCAACCAAATATTGCCGGAAAGTTAAACAACTCGTTGCTGGATTTTTTTCAATCGTTTGTTACTGTCTGCGATGTGTTAAAATCGTTTATTAGTGAATAGCTAAAATAATGAAAAGGTGTTAACATTTTCTGTCCTCAATATATCATTAAATAATATCCAAGTAATTTTGATGCTTTCATATTACGAAAGCACGAAATCACATCATAGAGAAATTCATTTATTAGTAAACGTAAAGCGTGAGAAATAAAATTCACAGTGAATAAAATGAACCTACAGGACACGATAGAGTTACTTTACGGTTTGGATCAGAAATCATGTTATTTTAATTCAAAAATTTTCTCCCCAACGGAGTTAGATAGATGACTCCGTTGTTAATGGGAAAACTACGACGTACGGGGACAAAACACTACTTGAATTGAAAGCACGGTGACGAAAAATTGCATTGTGACGACGTCGAAGGATACAATTGGCCTCGCAACCCGCACCAACTCACTCACACGTGTACAATGTTCCATCATCTACTCATACTCACATTCATATCCCTTAGTGGGGCTCTTGAGAGCACTCACTCCAGGAGCACGGATGGCAATTAGCTTTCCCTTGCTTTGTCTCAACTGTGGGTATATAGCTGCCGTTCAACTTAGTATTTAATTCTTATTTTCCGTCTTCTTTTTCAGTCTAAATTCACTGACGGCCGGATGGCCGAGCGGTCAAGGTGGCAGCCTACCGCTCTGGAGGACCCGGGATCGTATCCGGTCGGGTCAGAGAATCCCCAGAAATTTTTCGGGGTAGTCCGTTCGGATATGTCGGGACCCGTCCCTCACCATCCGGCCGCCCCATTGTGGGCCTGGCCGAACCCATAATGAGCCTGCTTTAAGAGGCCCTCTTAGTGCTCACAGGGCGGAAAGAGCAAAAAAAAAAAAAAGTCTAAATTCAGTTAGTTTAGACCAGACCTGGCCAACCCAAATTGTTTCGCGGGCCACTTTGATCACGCGTAACGTTACGGTGGGCCACAATTTAGGAAAATATGCTTTTTAAAAAAGTAAAACAAATACAGTAATACCTCGACTTACGCTACCCCGACTTACGCGAACCCGAAGTTACGCGATTTTCAAATCTCGTCGATTCGTCTTTTGTTTGAGCGCCACGCAACTATCGATTACTCACTCCCCCAACTCTATTGTTCAGTTTACGTGTTCGGACTTGTCGCGCGGAATCGACGCATAGCTACAATTTATTTTGTGTTATTTATTTCTGTGTTTGTTATATCTATGGAGACTCGAGAGACTCTATGTGGTGATTTCTTGTAACCGTGAACGAATCAATGTTCTCGTTATCTCGTCTTTTGTTTCAAAAGACGAGATAAGATTAACGAGAACATTTATTAGCTTATATACATCCGACCTGAATTTTACACAAATTGCGAAATTATACCCCGACTTACGCGAATTCGACTTATGCGTTTATCGCTCGGTCCCACCTATCGCGTAAGTTCGGGGTATTACTGTACAAAATGAATAAGATTTTATTGTTATACCAAGAGTTCGTACTCGCACTTGCGCATTATAACAATGACACATGAAAATTTTCAGTTATTTAATTATTTTGGAATACACATAACGGGAAACAAAAGTTTTAATAGATATATAATAGGCCTATCGCCTAGCGGGCCACACAATTTAACGTAAAGGGCCGCGGGTTGGCCAGGCCTGGTATAAAAGGACAATGTATAGTAATATACGTTATTTTTGAGGTGCAATTTACTGATAGGCTATATATTGCATTTTTTTAACACCAACTCGACGATTCTATTATTTAGTGAACAGTGTACGAGTGAAATTGTTATAACAGTGTTCAATAAAATAATTGAAGAGATAGACAATATTCAAATTTTATTACTACAGGCATACCTCGACTTACGTCGTTTTCCTGGAACCAATTACCGACGTAAGGCGAGGTATACCTGTATATTGTTTGCAGTTTTCAATAAAGTATTGAATAAGTTCTCCCTTTTATATTTTATTTATTGTTGTTCGAAAGTAATATGTTAATTAATATAATAAAAAGTTTATTTTTTATTTAGATCACGTCAATGCCTGGAATAAAACTTAGCGGTTCCCAGAATCGAAAAAGAAAACTAAAGCAAGAAAAAGAAGCTCAGAAATCCAGAATAACAATGGAATCATATTTATTAAAAAAATCGCAAAAAGAAAAACCAGAAGATAAAAAGGATGAAGAAGTAGAATCAGAATCAGAATCAGATTCAAGTTGTACTCCTACTGCCGCTAAACTTTTATGCCATAACACATCACAAGAAATACAAGACTTTGAAGATGATGAATGTGGGGGTACAGCACATCCGAAGTTCCAAATCCATGTCCATATCTAATAAAATGTACCGAAAATGCAACAGAAACACTCACTGTAATTCCAGACGTTCTGGAGTTCAAAGATGTTGCTTATTTAAAATTCAGTAATAATCTTCCAATAATATCGAACCAACGACTCACAGAAATGATTATTCGTGGATCCCGCATATTTCAGAACGAATGCAGTCTAAATGCGGTAGCAACATCAGCTAATCGTCTAATGCCAAAATCTTGGTTTTCTCGATGGATCGGTAACGAAGAAGAAGGAACTGAAATTAACTGATCTTGGTATTATATTCACCAAAAAATAATGCAGCGCACTGCTTTTGTCGCTTACTGTTTATTACATCAAATTCCGCTACACAATCATCTTTCGTAACTACATCTGGTTTTAAAAAATGGAGCAAAAAAATAAATAAATTGATTAGCCACGAAAGAAGTCCAAATCATCGAAAATCGTTTACAACTCGGAAAGAAACAGAAAGAAGATTAATTAATAAAACGGGAAACGACGCATCGTTAGAAACAAATATACAGTCCGAAAAAGAACAATGGCGAAATATATTGCAACGAATATTAGCTCGCACGAAGTACCTGATTATACAAAATCTTTCTCTACGTGGTCATGTCGAAAATCTAGCCCTCCAAGATGGTACAAATGTCGGAAACTTATTATCTTTACTTAAACTTGTAGCTCAGTTTAATCCACTACTAGCAAATTCGACTCCCGATATCGCTCATCGAGAACAAATTTCGCGAGTCTTTAGGTACGTAGATATTGATTTTATCAACAGAAAAGTTTCTATCAAAGAATCTTTTTTGGAATTTATTGAAATACACGCTAAAGATGCATCGTCAATTGAAAATACAATTTCAGAAAAATTAAATTCCGATCAGATTTCATAATCGAACTGTAAATCATAATGTTACGATAACGCTGCCGCGATGTCGGGTCACATATCCGCTATACTATACTAGTTGAAAGAAGGGGCTACCTCCTGGTTCCACTCAAAGGTACGAGCAGGAGGTTGTAAAGATGGTGAAAGAAGAGGAAGAGAGAAGAAGACAAGTGATGAAAAGGAGGGCAGGGTGATGATAGGATCATAGGGCACTGCATCGGTAGTTTATTAAATACAAAACAGAAAACATATGTACAAATTATACCGTATATAAGATGCACGTAACACAGCTGACAACAAATAATGACTAAATACAGTTTGTACAAATATAAATAGAGAACATTATAACGGATTTACAATAAATATGTAGACGCACCGGTGAGGACCAAACCACTCGTTTGGTCAAATACAAGAATAAATCACGATTACATCACTACAAAATAAGTGAAATAATGCACCGCACTTGGGTGACAAAATTATGACAATATCAGGAATGGTTATGTACTGTACATAAGGAAAATGAAAACATAGATACAATGTATATTATATATGATACTTCCGGTTGGGATGTTAAGACTATTCCGGAAGTGGTTAGTGACCTGACAAGACAATTCTGGATTTTATAACATATTTCTAATTTACCGTGCAACAACCTCATATCCGCCGTTCAACAAAGAATTATGGAAAAAAATAATAAAGCATTATTTGTAAATTGTGATAACCACTCCTTAAATTTAGTAGTAGTTACTGCAGATAAGCACGATCCAATCGTAGTAACCCGTTTTGGAATAATTGAAAACATATTTATCTTTTTCTCACGTTCGACACTACGATGGGAATGATTAAAAAGTGCTTTAAAGAAAACTGTTAAACGTGAATCTGAAATACGATGGAGCGCCGAAGCACAAGCGGTTGGCGTTATTGTCGATGGGCTGGAAGAGTTAGTAGAACTATTAGAAAAATTAGCAGAGGACAGTACTACCACAAGTGACACCAGAAGTGAAGCTACAATTTTATTGCAAGATACACTGAATCTTTATTTCATAATTGTAGTCCATTTCTGGATGAAATCTCGAGGAGAATTGATCGAGTGCAGCTCAGATTACAATAACCTAAAATGAATTTTAAAGAAGCGTATCGTGATCTCGAATCATTAGCGACTGAACTCGCAGAAATTCGAGACGAGACCTGTGAAGAGGCAATAGAAAAGGCTAAGTCTCTCTGCGAAAATGAGATATTGATTTAACAATCCGTGTTAGAAGAGGCCGAAAAATGCCCGGAGAATTTGGCTAGTAATGTTGGCCTTTCCGCAGAAAGTAAAATTTCTCGCGTTATGAAAAGAGTCTGCAGCAAGAAATAAGTGCACGATTTCCGCGACTAAGTGATCTTAATTTCAAATTTGGATTTTTACTGGACGTTCAAAAGTTATTAAACGAGGATAATGACGATAAAGGTCTTGAAACGAATTGTAAAAATTTGGGTGAATTTTATAATACAGATTTTAATGGAACAGAACTCTACGTCGAAATATGTAACTGCGAGATGTTACTTCGCAGTAGAAAAGAAATTGAACCTAAAACTGCATTAGAGCTTCTTACCTTTATAATCTCGTATGGAAAAGATGTTTTTCCAATCCTGAGAGTCGCGCTTCAAATACTCCTTACTATTTCAGTATCAATTGCTATCTGCGAATTAAAATTAATTTTCGCATATCTACGATCGACGATTGGACAAGGTCGCCTAAGTGACTTAGCATTTTTAAGTGTGGAAAGAGAAAAATTTGAAATGATCGACTTTGATGAATTGATAAATTTGCTTCATCAAAGGCAAGAAAAATGTATACATAGCACTTATTTGTATTAATGTATTATATTATTATTATTAATATCTACTCATATATATATATTATCTTTTTTTGTTGTTTAAAAACTGTATGTTTTTTAAAACAATTATGTAAATAGGTAAAATAAATATTATCTTTTTAACTGTTCTAAGATGATAGTTTATCCGATTTTTCCGCTGACACAGACACGTTTCCGAATCCAATCCTAGTCTTGATTTTTTTAACTATATTTTTTGTCTAAAATGTAAAGCCTAACCTGATCCTGTGTCCCTATTTATCCCGAAAAACAGTACTGTATAGCATTATGTAGAAGCGTAGTTAGGTAGTGACTATTCGTAATATATTACAGATATTTTAAGGTAGGTACTACATTCTATTATTATTTGTATTATATTCTTATTAAAGTAAATTCTATATGTTATATTACTATATGTGATTCCGGGGGTGGGGGGAAGGGGAGAGGCGCCAATAAAGTGTCGTGCTCCGGGAGCCAGTTTTTCGGTACGCCACTGTCCTCTCCCTCCTTTTTCACCTACCGTTTTACCCTCTTTTCCGCCGGCTAAACACTTCGTGTACGAAGTTTTTCTTGTATGTATATATACACATTTAACAGATTACAGTTTTGCCAGTTTTTAGTAAAGCATATATGGCACCTCTTGGACGTTTTCGATCAGTTAAACATTCTCGAAACAATTAGTTACTTTCTCCAAAATATACGACTCGTCGTACTTTCAAATTTCTGAAGTAAATGACTTTTGAAGAATGGCTGTTTAATTAATTTTAAAACTGATTGAATTGAAAGAACTTAATTATAACAAGCTCATTCACACGGTTCGTACATCGGTTGATGAGAAATAAATTACGAAAACTGATACGGTTACAAACTGCGATAATATTGCAGTTAAAAATTTGTGTAGTTTGAAGTAGTGTTGCAAGAGTAACTTCTTTCTGCGCAATTCGATTTCTTCACTTTCGACGTTCTTAATTCCACTAAAGACGAAAGCACGGAATATAATCCATTCACCATCTGAAAATCGTATTTCAACGTAAGAAAATTATTTGTAATATTTCAAAAGTCTCTATAAAAACTGCAAAAATATTTTGTAAATAATGGAAAAACAAAAAGACGAAATGCGATGGTAGAAAAATATACGAAACTGCTTTGACATTTTCCTCCTCGTATTTATGACCTTCCTGTTTTTTTCCGCAACTTTTCGGGCCATTTTCTTCACATTCCACAGATTGCGGGCGTGCTGCATTGTCGTCATTTTATTGTCATTGAGCGGAAACCGGCCTAGCTAACTACTGCGCGTTCGTCGACGCGGGTGTAAAGCAAAAATGCGTAAGCTCAACAGGTTGAACTTTCGAGGAGGAGAGAACCGGTTAATTAATGTTCTCCCGCATTACGCGCGAGAACATTAATTAACGTAAGAAAGTTTAATTTAATTATTTAATTATCATTTTTGGCTTCATATGTTAATTTGAAAGATTAAGATAAAAAAATTTAATATAAAATCAAACATATTAGTAAAAGTACAGCATACTTACTCTAATAACGAATGTCTTTTTAATAGTAATGTAACCTCCGATCGAAATACCTTTAATTATTCCAGTGTATCTATTCATAAAGTTTAAAATCTGCAATACAAAATACGAAAATGTTAAAAGTTGAACGGTTTACAACTTCCAAAATATCAAAGATATTTATGATAAAATTAAATAGAGTTATTACGAAAATATATTGTTCATAGACAAGAATGGCAATTTACTATTTGCCCAATGCTTAAACTAGCTTTGTGTTATACCGTACAAGGCAAAAGACAAATCCATATGTTTAGTGTATTAGTGTATCCCAATCAGTCTTAGATCAAGTCAGGCATGTCTGTTCGCAGAATGTACTCTAACAATAGCTAAAATACTTTAGATATATTTACAAAAAGCAGGATTCCGTTAAGAAGAATAGGATACTTGGAAAAGTTTACAGTAATAAGAGAAAGAATGAAGCAAAAATAGTTGAATTTTATATCGTTTTAAATTACGATTTAAGCAAGAAACTCCAGCTTGTGCGCACTCTCTTTTCTCTATTTATTATTATTTCTATTAAAAGCATCTGTTTCTTAACTAAGACGAATGCTGTTAACATTTAAGGCTATTGGTCTGAATTTAAGCTTTAACTGGTAATCTTGACGTCACGCTTAATACAAGATAGAATTTATTAAGGTCTAAAACAAGCAAATGATGTAAAGTTATTAAATGATAGTTGTGAGAGTTGAACATATCTCCGCCTTTATGTTTTTGAACATTTACTATACATCAACGAAATTGTCACACAGAATTATACGAAATTTCCGGACACGACATTGTAGAAATCATTGCACCTAGTGCTCTTTCTTCATGTTTTTTATTTTACGAAATGTGTCGATATACGATTTTCTCATTTCACGTTTTGTGATTAAAATTAAAAATAATAAATCGCTTACTTTCATTTTATTCAGCACGGGGAGATTTGAAGAAGAAAACACTCCGATGCTAATAAAGTTATCGTATATCTAAGAAAACATTTATTAAACATTTAATTATTCACTCGAAATTTAAATACTCTAATACAATATGTGTAGATTTTTAATTAAATAGAAAATAAATAAAAAATCGCTTACCGTAGAAGATACTCGAGATAAAAGAAACGATACTATTAAAATGGCGGCTACGATGAAAATAGAAAAGATGACGACGGCGATTCGGATGTATTCGTGCATTTGTACATAGAGCGCTCCGTACACGAAGAAACACGTCAGGTACAAGTAATGAGAATTTATTAAAGGATACGTATGTTCCCACGTTGCGTTCGCATCTTTGATTACTTCCCATAACCCGAAATTTTCCATCATAAATCTGTTTATATTATCTTTGCAAATCGTAGACTTTTTCTTCAGATATATTAACTCTTTCGATAAACGAAAGAAACTGGAAGTTATGGTAAATAGAATAACAGCGGAAATGAATAAGACAGAAAATGCCTGCGCAACCAGCAACAAAAACCAGACAGACAAAATTGTGGTGCAGACCAAAGCTTCCGTGTCCGCGCTTCCCTGGTTCTTCAGACCTTCGAAGGTAAATATTGTAGACATTGATGTAGCCATCAATAGAATGAAAATTAAGGAAATAATTCCCAGCGAAGCCAGATCAATCAGTTTACATACATTCTCTTCTTCGCTGTAAACCACCCTGTGTTGACGAAATGCAAATTTTTTACGTCTCAGAATGCTGTATTGCGAGGCCAAGTATCCGGCCAAAGTAACGTATACGATGGTTACGGAATTGGCATCGTTTCCGTACAGATTTATCCAGCGCACGCACATTTGATCTTTATCTTTCAGTTGAATAAAGAAATGAACTACCATTAACCAGAGAAACGATTCCAAGAAAATCTTATATACTTTATATAATTTAGCTTTACAGCTACTCGCTTTGCCATTTGGCAAACAGTGGCAGAGTGAAATGAAATCTAGTCCAATTACGTAAATCGACGATAATATGGGCCGAAGTAAACAGAGGAAACACAAACTGGAACTTTTTTCCATTTCTACAAAAAAAGTAATAAAATATTAATAATAATCGTGCAAAACAACGCAAGTATTTCATTGAAAGTATAACAATTCGGAAGGTTAATTTATAAAAGAACTTAACTATTTTCAATGTGTATTGTTGATTTCAGATTATATTTCGTATAAAAGTATTTTAATAATCCTTACACTATGCGGATGTTAATTAAGGTAATATGTATTTTATTTTTCTATATGCAGTATATTTATTATTTTAATTAACTATTTTTCCGAGACGAAAATTTACACTTATTGCTTTTGTCTACTTTCTAAAAGACCGGCTATTTTAACGAGAAATAAAATTTCCATCTATTTAGAAGCAGAACAAAGAATTGAAATATCAACTTTGAAATTCCTTACAGTAAGTAGGTAGAGCGAGGAAATATAAGCGTACGGGGAATAAGTGCATATGTTCTTAACTCCCTAACAACAGTGTGAACGAGAAGTGCAATATACAACTCCTAGAAAAAATATTAGAATATTCACCTAACTGAAAGTTTAGTGTAGATTTTCTCACGAACAGCACAGAGTACGAAACTTTTTTCGACACTACATAAACAGTGCTTATATATATATATATCTATTAGGGTTTCTCATTTTCCGGTCTTTTGCTTGTCCCGGGATTCCGGATAAAAGTGAACTGTTTCCCGGAATCCCGAGAAATCCCTGGACAGAATTAATTATTTTTAAGATATAAAAATATCTTGAAATCAAATGGTATAATTATTTTTCGTTGTTTAAAGTAATTTAATACTTTCCGCAATCTCTAAAATCATAATAATGCCGTGTAAGATGTACATCAAAAATTACCTTTGAATTACGTAGAAATTTTCACAAATAGAAAAAATTTATTAAAGTTCGCTGGAAACTGCATACAACAACAACAACAAAATGCTTTGAATTGAGTTGAAAATTAAAAAAAAAAATTAATTTAGATGAAACTTCTAGTTTCAGTAATACAACTAAAAGTGGAAAAAAAAAGGGTCTTTTTAATTATTTTTAAGATATAAAAATATCTTGAAATCAAATGGTATAATTATTTTTCGTTGTTTAAAGTAATTTAATACTTTCCGCAATCTCTAAAATCATAATAATGCCGTGTAAGATGTACATAAAAAATTACCTTTGAATTACGTAAAAATTTTCACAAATAGAAAAAATTTATTAAAGTTCGCTGGAAACTGCATACAACAACAACAACAAAATGCTTTGAATTATTTTTAAGATATAAAAATATCTTGAAATCATTAAAAGGTAATTTTCGTTTTTTAAATAAAATATAATATAAAATATTATTGTAAATTTGTATAATAAGATTTTAAAAAGCAAAGATGGTCGCTACTCCGATCACTCGATCTGATTCTTATTTTAGAAACGAAAAGTCCCGCTATCGAGAATGCCCTTTCCGATTCAATTGATGCGAGTGGAATTCTATTTTCCCTTAAATGCATTAAACACATGTTATGTGTTTTTTCGCCCGTAGCCTAGAAGGTTTCTAGTTCGTTATCGAGATTGTAGTACTTTTTTTGCTCTCTACTATTCTTGATTTGTCTATTTCGGCTGTTTTAATAAAAACATCAAGCTTATAGCCCAATAATTCGGCAGTACGTTTGTCTTTAATTAATAATCGGGTTTATGAAGAAACACTTCATACTTGCAGACTTCATACTCGTTTATATCCTTGCTTAATTTGCACAGCCTGGGCCCTTAGTCTTGAGTTTTTCGTGTTACAACTCCCAACGTTTTAAAGTATCACGTGGTACCATCTCACACTCTAACGTCAAACTGGTAGTCTCGAGTTATAACTCATAACTCACAAGCTTTCCCATCTCACCATGCGAATTCCTACTCACTTTGAGTCGAGCATGTGAGATCTCTACACGAAAGTGAAAATGGCTGACGGATATGTTATTCTGAGCGCAATCGAAGCATTAGAAAGAGCCGAAAGAGTTGTTTAGGAAGGCAACGAATTTTTCGACTACGAGTAAATGCCATTTCTTTTCGTGTCTAGTCAACACTAATAAAAAAATTTTAATTCATAATTCATAAAATTTATACAGCAAATTTTTCCAAAAATAAAAAGAAGTACCTAATTTACCAAAAAAGAGAATTAAAATGATATGCTCTATGCTCTTAATAATTTATACATAAATTATTAAGAGCATAGACATTATATTAAGATTATTTATTAATCAGAAGTGTTAAGTTCTGATTAATAAATAATCTTAATAAACAAAACAATTTAAGAAATAGATCGAGGAAGAAAACTATACGAAGAAAGGATTAAATTAAAATACTTTTTCCATTGCGAGACGGATTTTTTAGCTCCAATACACAATTAATTTTCAACTAAATCTGTCCACAAATCGAATTGTCTTTTTCTCGTAAATTCGTTGTCGAATTTTCCACTGTTTATTTTCTTATTACTTTCTATATATGTGACTGATATTTCTTTTCGTTCTTTTCGCTATTTTTTTTAAATAAAACAATGGAGGTTTCCATTTTGTTTATTGTTATAAGACAAAACTTTTAACTATAACGCGTGTAAATTAATTCGCGTTGATTTGTTTACAACTTGTTATAGTTAAGTTGATTGGTCGAATCATTATCGTGCTTAACGACATACGTAACCGAATGAGTATGACGTTTTTCCTCTCGCTTTTCGAGTTCGCTCGACGGGTCTAACTCGAGACTACCGATTATGTGAGTTATAATAACACGAGTGAGTTGAATGACGTCAGTTCGAGTAAAACACAGAAAACTCGAGACTAAGGGCCCTGGCGTTGCACAGTTATCAGTAGTAGTGATTTGGGCAGCTTTGATCACAAAATTAATTTTTTGAGTAAATTACTATCGAATAAATTAAAATTACAAATAAAAATTTATTGAATGAAATTATTTCAGACAACAAAATTAATTTTTCGATCACAAATCTTATCAATCTTAATCTTAGTAAATCTTAGTAAATTAATTTTATTTTAACAATAAGGCTGTATTAATTGATAAATGTTTTAATATCGAAGAGAATTAAAACACGATAATTGTATGAAATAATATAACATTGAATTTATTTTGAAAAGGTTTTTATTTTTATGTTACAGTTTATTTAAGTGTTTCCACTTTTTCCTTCAGTTTATCTAAAGCAAGATAT